CTTTAAATGACTACCCACCTGGTATGTTAAACCAAAAAAATAATAAACTATTTTAAAACAATGTGCATGCCATCTGAATGCAACAAAGGCTAATATTTTTTTTAATGATTTTATTGAATCAGAGAGGAAGGGAAATCTAGAGGGAGAGAAACATCCATGATGAGAGAGAATCACAGATCGGCCGCCTCCCACACGCACCCTACTGGTGATAGAGCCCGCACCCGGGCATGTGCCCATGACCGGGAATTGAACCATGACCTGCTGGTTGATAGGTCGATGCTCAACCACTGAGCCAAGCCGGCCGGGCCGGAAGTGCAATATTTTGAATATGAGAAACGCAACTTGGAAACACGACCCTCACGCTCCCCAGTCCTCAGCCTTAAAGGTCTCAATTTGCATTTGCATACACTTTTCTGCAAGAGGAGAATTTAATCAGCAGTCAGTGATTCTCTTTAATGCAACCATGGATGTCCTGAGATTGATTTCTGGGGCTCCCTCCAGCACCCCCTCCAGCCGCCTCTCTCTGGTGCAATGCTAGATGAATTTTATGAACGCTGCGCTTTCTTTGGGGCTGTTTAGTGCTAAACACAATTAATAACCCAAATGCATCCAGAGCTAGATGTTAAGCCACACACAGAGCCGGCTCGAGCCTTCAGGAGACGAGCCCTGGCATCCCTGGTAAATCCTCAAAGGAAAGACATGATCAGCATAAAACACCCGTAATCCTCCAAACATTCGTTCTTTTTCTGGAGAGGGTAGTATTGGTTGACTAACCTCAGGAGATCAAACAATGAGAATGCTGGTCATTGAAATGAAAACTATTTCCAGTGATGTCTTCGAGCCTTGTCTACTGGGGCTGTGCTAATATTTTCAAGCTTAAGGTCTTTTTCTTTGTCTTTCTCTGTTTAATATATTTTTACTAGAGGCCCGGTGCACGAATTCGTGCACCAGTGTGATGCCTCGGTCTGGCCTGCGGGGTTCGGATGAAAATGGCTCTACGACAGTCACGAAGGGGTCCCAGATTAAGAGAGGGCACAGGCCAGGCCAAGACACCCCACCGGTGCCCCATTAGGTCTTGGGGGGGGGGACATGGGAGGTTAGCCAGCTGGGAAGGGACCAAGGGAGGACCGAAGAAGAAGAAGAACAAGAAGAAGAAGAAGAACAAGAAGAAGAAGAAGAACAAGAAGAAGAAGAAGAACAAGAAGAAGAAGAAGAACAAGAAGAAGAAGAAGAACAAGAAGAAGAAGAAGAACAAGAAGAAGAAGAAGAACAAGAAGAAGAAGAAGAACAAGAAGAAGAAGAAGAACAAGAAGAAGAAGAAGAACAAGAAGAAGAAGAAGAACAAGAAGAAGAAGAAGAACAAGAAGAAGAAGAAGAACAAGAAGAAGAAGAAGAACAAGAAGAAGAAGAAGAACAAGAAGAAGAAGAAGAACAAGAAGAAGAAGAAGAACAAGAAGAAGAAGAAGAACAAGAAGAAGAAGAAGAACAAGAAGAAGAAGAAGAACAAGAAGAAGAAGAAGAACAAGAAGAAGAAGAAGAACAAGAAGAAGAAGAAGAACAAGAAGAAGAAGAAGAACAAGAAGAAGAAGAAGAACAAGAAGAAGAAGAAGAACAAGAAGAAGAAGAAGAACAAGAAGAAGAAGAAGAACAAGAAGAAGAAGAAGAACAAGAAGAAGAAGAAGAACAAGAAGAAGAAGAAGAACAAGAAGAAGAAGAAGAACAAGAAGAAGAAGAAGAACAAGAAGAAGAAGAAGAACAAGAAGAAGAAGAAGAAGGACAACAACAAGAAGAAGAAGAACAAGAAGAAAGAAAGAAAGAAGAAAGAGAGAGAGAGAGAGAGAGAGAGAGAAATCAATGTGCCCTCATACCCAGGGGGTGGCAGATAGAATAACAGAGCTTATTAAAAAGGTGAACAGAACTATACACATCCCACCGGCAGGCCAGCAGGATTGGGGCTCAGGTTGACAATAGCCAGGGATGCCATCACCTGTCCTATGAGTCGTCCATCAGCTCAAGTTTCATTTCCTCCACGCCATTCTCCTTGACGTGGTGCATGATGCGCCAGAACCGGCTCATGGGGTCCACGTACTTGCTGCCAGAATGGAGCGTCCACATCCAAGGCATGGTGCTCAAGGTCAGCGGGCTGATGGTGAGTCCCATATGCCCACTGGGAATGGCTTCCTGGCACAACTGTACTTGCAGGACACCTGTGTCCATGACAAGATGCAGCCATGTGTGATGCTTCTCGTCCTCATACACCGAGAGCCCACGGATCCTCAGGCACTTGGGGTGCAAGGTGAGGTGCACCTGGACGGGAGCTCGGCCATGACCCCTCTGTGGTCCAAGGAACAACAGTCATAGTTCTCAGAGCCTCTCGCTACTTCGGTCCTCGTATCGAAAGACAGGGGATGGGGTCTCCAAACGCATTTGACCTCGGCTTTGATCTTTATGGTTTTTACGGTTGTGTTTGTGGTTGCCTTTGGTTTATTTTGCAAATTGGTTAATCTCAACTTTTCTTTCTTTTTAGCTTTAGATCTCTCTCCTAGAACAAACTGTACAAAACGTACTTAATGTAAAATATGATTCTTTGAAAGTAACATGGTCCTATAGAATTTTTAAACATTTTTTAAATGACAGTTAACATAGAGTGTTAGGTTCATTTCAGGGGAACACCCCAATGATTAGACATTATATAGTTGACTAAGAAATCATGCAATTAATCTCATACACATCTGACACCATAACAGTTATAATATTACTAGAGGCTCAGTGCACAAAATTTATGCACTCAGGGCGGTCCCTCAGCCAATCCTGTAGCCTTTCCCAGTCCAGGAACCCTTGAGGGATGTCCAACTGATGGCTTAGAACCGCTTTAGTGCTGCCGTGGATGCTCCCACCACCCCCCTGTGGTCGGCAGCTGTGAGCGTGGCCTTTGGCTGAGCGGCGCTCCCCCTGTGGGAGTGTACTGACCACCGGTGGACATCTCCTGCCATGAGCATCTGCCCTTGGTGGTCAGTGGGTGTCATAGCGACCAGTCCTTCTGCCGTTTTGTCGATTTGCATATTAGCCTTTTATTATATAGTATTGACTCAATGCTCTACTTTACTGTGCCATGACTATTCTTTCATTTTTTTCATACAGCCCCCCAAAAAAGCCCAGCTATCATAAAATTCATCTACCATCGCACCAGCAAGAGGAGGCTGGAGGGGGAGCCGGAGAGAGCCCCAGAAATCAATTTCAGGTCATCCATGGTTGCATTAAAGAGAATCATGGAGCGGTTGCCTCCCACACGCCGCCTACTGGTGATTGAGCCTGAAACCTGGGCCTCTAGTCAAAATATATTAAACAGAGAAAGAAAAAGAAAAAGACCTTAAGCCTGAAAATATTAGCCCAGTCCCGGTAGACAAGGCTTGAAGTCATCAGTGGAAATAGTTTTCATTTCAATGACCAATGTTCTCATTGTTTGATCTCCTGAGGTTCATGAACCGATAATACCTTCTCCAAAAAAAGAATGAATGTTTGGGGGAATTTGTGCACCAGTGTGGTGTCTCGGCCTGGCCTGCGGGGATAAGCCGAAACTGGCTCTCTGACCTCCACCAAGGGGTCCCAGAATACTAGAGGGCACAGGGCAGGCCAAGGCACCCCACCGATGCCCCATTAGGTCTGGGGAGGGACACGGGAGGACTGCCAGCTGGCAGGGACCATGGGAGGGCTGCAGAGTGTGTCCAGCATGTCTCACTCAGTCCCGATCAGCCAGACCCCAGCAGCAAGCTGACCTACCAATCTGAATGTCTTGTCCCTGGTGGTCAATGCATGTCATAGCGAGCAGTTGAGCAAACTTAGTATATCATCTGCATATTATGCTTTGATTGGTTGAACAGAAGACCAGTCGACTGGACACTTAGCATATTAGGCTTTTATTATATAGGATTGATTTCATACAGGAAGGGAGAGAGAAACATCAATGATGAGAGAGAATCATACATTGGGTACCTCCTGCATGCCCCGTACTGGGGATTGAACCCAAAACCAGAGCATCGGCCCTTGAGAATAATCGAACATGGGACCTTCCAGAGTTCACAGTCCCACCCTCTATCCACTGAGCCAAACAAGCTAGGGCTCATTGGTTAATTCTTGTCTGTGCCCTGACCAGGAATCGAACCGTGACCTCCGGGTTCATAGGTCGTCCCTCAACCAGTGAGAAACACCAGCTTGACTCAAAATGCTTTTATTGATTTGAGAGAGAGGGGGAGACACAGAAAGAGACAGAGAGAAAAGAGATGAGCAGAAGATGAAAAAGAACAAGAACAGAGAGAGAGAGAGAGAGAGAGAGAGAGTTCAATGTGCCCTCGCACTCAGGGGGTGACAGATAGAACAACAGTGCTTAGTAAAAAGGTGAACAGAACTATACATGTCCCACCGGCAGGCCTGCAGGACTGGGGCTCAGGGTGACAAGAGCCAGGGACCCCATCACATGTCCTATGAGTGTTCCTTCAGCTCAAGGATCATTTCCTCCACTCCATTCTCCTTGACGTGGTGCACGATGCGCCAGAACCGGCACATGGTGTCCACGTACTGGCCGCAAGGGTGAAGCGTCCACATGGTGATCGAGGTCAGAGGGCTGGTGGTGAGTGAGATATACCCACTGGGGATGCCTTCCTGGCGCAACCGAACTTGCAGGACACCTCCTGTCTCCATGAGGAGTTGCAGCCACGTGCGCTGGTTCTCGTCCTCATACACCGAGGGCCCACGGAGCATCAGGCAGATGGGGTGCGAGTGGAGGTGCACCTTCGAGGGGAGCTCGGCCATGACCCCTCCGTGGTCTAAGGAGCAACAGCCACAGCTTCTCAGAGCCTCTCGCCACTTCGGTCCTGGTATCAAAAGACAGGGGATGGGGTCTCCAAATGCATTTTACCTTGGCTCTTATCTTTATGGTTTTTACAGTTGTGTTTGCGGTTGCCTTTGGTTTATTTTGTAAATTTATAAATCTCAACTTTTCTTTCATTTTTAGCTTTAGATCTCTCTTCTAGAACAAAGTGTACAAAGCATACTTGAAGTATAATGTGACTCTGTGAAGGTAACATAGTCCTATAGAATTTTTAAAATATTTTTCAAATGACATTTGACATACAACCTTAGGTTCATTTCAGAGGTACATCCCAATGATTAGATATTATATAATGGACTAAGAAATCATGCAATTAATCTCATACCTTTCTGACATCATACACAGTTATGATAATATTACTAGTGGCTCAGTGCACAAAATTCATGCACCTGGGGGGGGGTTCCTCAGTCAGCCCTGCGGCCTCTCACAGTCCGGGACCCCTTGATGGATGTCCAACTGACAGCTTTAGTGCTGCCGTGGATGCTCCCACCACCCCCCTGTGCTCGACACCTGTGAGCCTGGCTTTTGGATTTTCGGTGCTCTCCCTGTGGGGCACTGACCACCACTGGTGGAGAGCTCCGGACATGAGCATCTGCCCCCGGTGGTCAGTGTGTGTCATAGCAACCAGTAGTTCTGCCATTTGATCAATTTGCATATTAGACTTTTATTATATAGGATTGACTCAATGCTCTACTTTACTGTGCCATGACTATTCTTTCGTTTTTTTCATATAGTTTTACTGATTTCAGAGAGGATCGGAGAGGAAGAGAAAGAGAAAAAAAGATCAATGATGACAGAGAATCACAGATTGGTTGCCTCCTGCACACCTCCTACTGGGGATCAAGACTGTAACCCGGGCATGTGCCCTGACAGGGAATTGAACTGTGTTCTCCTGGTTCCTCGGTTGAAGCTAAACAATTAAGCCACGCTGGCCAGGCTCTTACCTTTCTTTTATTTATTTTTTCTTAATTAAAACTTTGTTGTTGGGGTGAAACTTAGATGGCGGCATAGGTAAACACCGGAGTTGCTGCCTCGCACAACCACTTCAAAAATACAACTA